TATATGTATATTAGATTTTGGAGGGGACATTAAAAATCTTGGCAAGGCAAGTAAACATTTTGAAAAAAAAATGAGCTCAAGAAGCTTCCTTTTTCTCCTTTAAGTTCTATCACTTTGTCTCTTTCATGCACACATTCCCCGTAACTCCGGTCGATCCGGCTCACTCCTGATTTTTTCCTTTTTTTTTTGGTCCCCTCTCCTTCTCTAGCCTTCAGCTCTGGCATCGATAGCATGCTGGATGATATGGTCAGCCTGCTGAGGACTGATAATGCAGGCTTACACACACACACACTCACATCCCACACCTGCACAAGAAAATGCACAATGCAATCTCTCAGGATGAGCCCTGGTCCTAATCTGTCTCCATAGCAACGGGGTCTGCGTAGGACTCCCCCGGTTGGCCTTGAGTGTGCCGCTATAAGGATCCTGCCTCATGACCTAGAGCGAGCAAGGGATTGTGATTAGCTATCAGCGTGATCATCAGATAAAAAAATTACAGCTAATTGCTTCTCAGAGAGCAAGTATTGAGCAACTGATATGGCTGCGATAAGCTTACAGAAGGAGAAGGAGACTCTAGCTGGGGGCCGATGTGACTCTCAGACCTCAAGCTGAGTGGTTTAAGTATGGGTTAAGAAACAGAGTCATTTTACTTCTTGGTGTGCTACTGATGGAAAGAGGGAGGCGTTTTATTTACTGAGCTCGAGCTGTATGATTTTCCTCTGCCTCATTGACTACAATTAGGAACAACCTTCAGAGTAAATGCTTTTCAGTTTGGGCTGTTTGTAATGGGTTATATGTGAAACTCATAGGCACTCTTCATATTTACTTTATATAACCATATTCATGTACAGTGGTTTTTACATGGCGCTCCAAGGAAGTCCAGAGAATGCCATAGTATTTCCATGTTATCATGTCAACCAGTATGGGTTTCTCAATGGCTAATTCCAGTATCTACTGTCTAAATGTCAAATAAGGTACACATACTAAATAATTATAATAATAAAGCAATTGTTTGTTAGATTAATATACACTACCATTCAAAAATGGTAGGTTAAGTAGAATTTTTTTTTTTTTTAAGAAATGCATACCTCTATTCGGGCAAATTGATCAAACGTGACTATAAAGAAATTTAAAATGTCTAAACTAAATTGTCTTCTTTTGAACATTTTATTCATCAAATAATCTTGAAAAAAATCCCAATTTCCTCAAAAATATTAAGCAGCAGTTTCCAACATTGAAAGCAAATGCACCAATCAGCATATTAGAATGATATTGAAGTATAATTAGTCTCTAAGATATATTAGTATATTAAAATATATTAAAATAGAAAACAGTTATTCTAAATTGTAAGAATATTTCACAATATTATTGTTTTTATTTACAGCCTTGAAATAAATTTTGAGTGAGTACGTTTTTTTTATCGAAATAAATGTTCATATTCAGCAAAGATGCAGTGACATTAAAGTGACATTCAAATAAATGGTGTTCTTTTTAACTTTTTATTCATCAGAGAATCCTGAAAAAAAAAATCACTATTTCCACAAAAATATTAAGCAGCACAACCTTGATAATAAAAATAAATGTACTAAGCATATTTATATCTATATCAGCATATTTAAGTAAATTAATATATATCTGTCTTTCACTAGTTTAAAAAAATAGTGGCCAACTGATTTTTTTTGACAGCCGATGCCGATATCTTGGAAAGCAGGGTGGCCGATGGCTGATATAAAGCCGATATAATTTTATTTATTTTCATTCATATTTAAGAAATTTGAAATCATTTGAAAATGGATTAAAGAATAAAGTGTAAAATAAACTGTCTTCTAGAGTATAAGTATTTTTCGCAAATAAATAAATATTTAATAAAAATATAATTAAATAGGAAGTAAACACTGTAACCAACAGGGCACTCAGTATTCTGGGAAATTTGTGTGCATTGGGAATCATATTTTTTCAAATAAAGCCAAGGTAACACTCATTTTACATACAGCACACAGTGAAAATGACATGAATATGACAGTGGGCAAATGCATAAAGCACAGCATAATTTGAAATCAGTCACGAGTTTAAAGTTTGTCGATTCAATTGGCACGGACCATAGGACCGACCGTCATAGAACACGCGATCATGCAGGTCACATGCACACTTCACAAGATCTCAACTAGATTCAACCAAGTCTGCAAGGTTTGTGAAATTAAATATTCAAAGATTTGTTAAAATTATATAAATGCGTATTTGCTGTGTGCTCAGGCGCTGCCGCAGCCATTCCCCCCCCCCCCCCCTTTTCTTTTTCTTATTATGCATTCACTTGTGTTTTCTTAATTACAGCAACAATGGCATCATTTATTAACCCCCGCCGGCGAAACAGCATGGAGCAACCACCCAGAATGGTGTAAGAGATTGTTCTTGGACATTATTTGATTTATACATTTAGAATAATTGAATGTATAAAAAAAAATTTGCTAATAATCTGAAGCAGCAATATTCATAAAAATAACATTTGAACTTGTGTACCTATTTATTTAGCATGAATTACTCTTAAATTGTTATAAACGCTGTAATGTTTTTCACATATAGTTACCATTTATTAATATATATATATATATATATATACACGTATGCGGAGTAGACATGAACAGAGAGAAGTAGCTCCGGTTACAATGTTCTTCCGCAAGACGCACGCAGTTCTGTTTATGAACCGCTAGAGCGCCAAAAGTTACGTATGAGAGGCCTTTCAAGCATTTTATGATTGAGATAAAGATGTTTGTCCAGAACAGTTTCACTTTTGTTCAACAGATCCTGCTGGGAAGACCTTAAATTCTCCGTAGAGGACTGTGAGGGAAAATGTGAAATTAATGTCATCCACATTAATTCTACAGTGCAAATGTGGTCCTGTACAGTGAGACAATATGTGAGTTTTCTTAATTACATTGCTTATATATGAGTGTTAGTTGAAAAAGGAAAACTTTAAGCGTTTCAATGTTTCTAGCATGCTATTGACTTACTTACAAACATTGAATTTAGTCAACAACGAAATAATTTGAGGCAGTGTGTGAACTACTACACAAAATGACCAACCTACAGTTTCTTTTTGAACAGATTGGATTATTATTTAACAGTGGGAAAAACACCAACA